CACCAGAGGCCCGACATGAGCCACGCGGTGAACGTCCTCTCGTCCCTGGCGGAGATGTGGCGGCCGGCGGAGCCGAGCGCGGAGGACGCCGACGACTTTTACGGGGTGGACGTGTACGACCTGAGCTTGCCCCAGGCCATCAAGAAGTGGCAGGCGCTCGAGGGGCTGAGCGGGATCGACACGCCCTCCTACCTCGACGACAGCACGGACAACACGCAGACCAGCATCCCCACGCGCCCCACCGGATTCGCCGATTCCTTCACTTCGGTGGATGGACGGTAATGTCTCCGTCAAAATCTACGTGATGCACTCTTTTCTTTCTTTCTTTCTTCTCTTCAACAAAAAAAAGGAATTCTCATGATCAAACGTACTAAAAAAAATGGACAAAATTTTGTTTGTCCGTTTTAAAAATTATGATGTTTTGTTGTCTCCAATCATCCTTGAGACCTTGTCTGGCAACATCTTTCTGGGATGTTGGTTGTGTTTAAAGTTAATATTTGTCGTTCAACTTTTTTATTTATTTAATTACTCCATCTGTCCTAAAATTAACTTCTCATTTGATTTTTCACGGTCTCCAATGCAATACTTTGACCATTAATATCTCCATTTTTATATGAATATATATTATCAAAATAATATATTTTAAAACTATGTTTCAAAATAAATCTATTAATACTAAATTTATATAAAAATGTAATATATTTTTTTCGTAATATGCAATCAAAGTTTAAAAACTTTGACTGCAAAAGTCAAAATGAAAAACTAATTTTAGGAGGGAGAGAGTTTTATTTGGTCCACACACTATGTCAGAGTTTGTGATGCAAAAACACTTCCACCAAACCTCAATATGTAGTTAGGTCACACTATAAATAAACGATAACACCACAGGTAACAATAGTTGCCTCTGGGATGGTGTCAATCTTGGTACTATTCCCACTAAGTAAATTTTTTTTCCAATTTTTTGAGTTAGACCTGTACTTTATTTTACGTACCAAAATAGGATTTGTGTCTATCTTAGGGACTTAGAGTTGTCTCTTTAAAATTAGTTGTACATTCTGATGTTGTCCTGTTGTACACCAAGTTTAAACCACTTTATTTTTAAAATTTTTTACTTACAAAATGACATAACATATTTGTGGCACATATGGAATAACATTTATAATAATAGAAATCACCTGTAATGGGTCTAAACATTGTGTAATCCCTAAGATAAAAGTTTAAGTTTTTTTATTATCAAAAAAGGACTCTTCCTGTCACTTTCTTTTTCTTCCTATAGAGATTAATGAGTTAAAATTGGGTGTGCGGCGTAGATGTCGAGAGGTATTTTGGGTATGTCGAATCAAAGTTACTCCTATTTGGAAATTTATGTTTAGGAATGCTATTTAGATCTATTTTCTATGTTTTTATTAGTCCTAATTATGTTTTTTTCCCTTCGAAATAAAGTTATCTATATGGGATTAGCATTGAAGTTATACAAAAAAATTATTAAGATTTTTGTGTTTTTACTCCAAAATAAGATTATTGCATAATGACAATGTGCGTAATTTGGCATTATATATTTACATTTTTTTGTATATTACCTACGGAGCACGTATTAGAGTATGTGTCTTGGTTTAATGTTTTTACAGTTAAAATCGATAAATTTTGACTATTAGTAAACTTTGACCCAAAATTCATTAAATCTTGTGGGATACCATGAACAAGGGTGCGGGGGATGGGTTCGGGGGTGGACGATTTAACGGTTAAGAGAATAATTCATATTTCAAATAAATAATCATAGGAAATCTCGTATCATCTCATGACATTGATTTGTAATGTCATATGAATCAACCAATTCTCCTTTTATCAGTTTTATGTAAGTGCTGTTTTGCATTACCATTTAAGACCAAAAAATTTATTAGGACTGGGCATTCAAGACTACATACTTATTCTGTCCCAATAACATTGGACCGACATGAGTAACTTAGATACGGAGTATTTTGTAGAGGTATTTAAATAAAAAATGAATTTTAAAGAATAGAACCCACAAATTTTTTGGATCAAATGGCAAACATGTTTTTTTTATTTTGTCATGAAATTTAAAAAAAATAGATAAAATACATATTTTGTACTCGTATAAAAAAATACGAAGGCCCACATACTTGTTCTGTCCCACAAAACCCATCTCTTTTTTTTGTCCCAAAAACATTTCTCATTTCTATTAAAAGGTCACATTTAGGCTCCGTTCCGTTCAACTTATTTTTTCTGATCTGATTCTAATAAGTTCTGATCTGATCTGGTCTGATCTGATCTGATCTGATCTGATTGGATCTGATCTGATCTGATCTGATCTGATTGGATCTGATCTGATCTGATCTGATTAGATCTGATCTGATCTGATTGAATCTGATCTAATCTGATTAGATCTGATCTGATCTGATTGGATCTGATCTAATCTGATTGGATCTGATCTGATCCGATTAGTTATGATTTAATTTAAAATTTTAAATTAATAATTTAATTTGACTTTATAATAACGTTTGAAAATTGTAATCATAATTCATATTATAATATAATCAACATTTTTTATTTAATGATTATTTTTTAATAAAATGAAAATAGTCAATTCATATATTAGAATAATCATTCATATTATAATGTAATAATATTTTTATTTTATGATTTTTTTTTTTGTAAAATTAGAATTATGCAATAGAATAAATATTTAATTTAGATATACATTAAAAAATAATTACATTTATAATAATAATAATAATAATAATAATAGTAATAATAATAATA